ATGCACCTGGCCGCAATTACGTTCAGAGACAAGTTAAGAGCGTCCCAGTCTGACACTCCGAGTACGTCCTGAGTTTGCCGTGTGCATTTTGGTCAATTGACATGGCGGTGCTTGTTATCGGAGGCCAATGATACTCACACTGTCTCGCACTGGCTCTATCTTTGAGTGTATCTGACCACTTTTAGGGCAACGTGTGGATGCATCTGGCCACTTTTAGGCCAAAGTGTGGAGGCATCTGACCACTTTTAGGGCAACGTGTGGATGCATCTGACCACTTTTAGGGCAGTGTGGATGCATCTGACCGCAATTACGTCCACAGAGAGGCTGAAAAGTCCCGGACAGTGAGTATGCCCGGAGTTTCTCTTTTGAAATGTGCAGTTTGGTCAAGCGAGATATGACCGTGCTTGCTACACGAGTCTAGTTTCGATTTTTTTTTAAATTTAAATAAACGAGTCTAGTTTCTCCAGTGGGGGCTGCTGATATAATCCGCTCATTTCAATTTGGTGTCAGTTTGAGGGTGATTTCCTGGGCCTGTGAAGAGTGCCATCTCTACGACTAAGGTTTATATCAGGACACTGGCATGTATGCTGCAGTCCGCTGCTGACTACCCAGCAGTGCGTTTGACTTCTTTCCAGTGCCAACTTCCAAGCTGAGCCGCCCGGCGCTCATGCGTTGGGCAGAGAGTGGGATGGCAAGGAGGGGGGAAGGAACTTATGGTATGGTAATCTATGCGCGTAACTTATGCTGATATCAGTGATATGGCGATCATTCTAACGAGATTAACTTATGCTCATGGTGATATATTATATGGGGATATGGTTATTATTGTTGCAATGCGGTGGTACCTGCCAGCATCATTCGGCTCCCAACGCCTCCCGTGAATCTGCTTTTACTTCTTCGGCCTTAACCATGGTTGGCCAGACTGAGTCAACGAAGGGTGCTATGATGCTATGAGCTACGGAAGTCGGTGACCTGTATGACGGATCATTAACAATTTTAAGAGTATAGTCACTGTACTTTCTTTTACTCTTTTTTTTTTTCCCCCTTTCACTAAGTTATTTACTACTGCAGTCAGTTAGGTGTATTGGGTGAGCTCACTGAGCTGTAGTCTTGCCTGTGTGACTGTCGTCTGACTTGGGTGACACCGTGACAGGCACCGTGACTGGTGAGGATGAGCGACGAGGGTTACCCTCATGAGCAAGGTCTCAATTGTGAGGTGTGAGCTGCCTTCAACCTTGAGAGAAGTGCCGATTCTGGAGGTTCTGGTGTGAGGTAGGCGATGTGTGGAAGGGGCCTTGCCGCCTTGCTGATGACGGGCCAGAGGTGGACTTGATGACGATCTCAGTGATGTGGAAATAGCACACACTCCAATGTGCAGCTTACACTCTGCTCTGCTGCTGCAGGCCTGTAGAAGGGGTCCTGGGTTCTGCTGGTGGCCACCTAGTCCTGATGCGACATGAAATAATTCTTCGCCGGTGGGCGTGTTATACTATGATTGCGAGATAAGACTTGGTACTTTAAGTAACCTCTGGTCGTTCGCCTGCCGCAACCTGAAATAATTTTGAGACGTGCAAACGTGTCAGTAATAACATTGTTGAATTTGTTGGGTTAACTCCCAGCTCAACTGCGCATGCGGCATGCTGAGCCCTCCAACTAAGTATCCTGCACATTATTTACTCGAGTTGGCCCCCAGTTAAGGGGATCGGGGGTCGGAGAGGGTCGGGGGTCGGAGGGTCGGGGGTCGGAGAGAGAGAAGCAAGAGATTGGTGAGTGTTGCCTGTACAGTTGACTGCAATAAAAAGGCTATTGAAAACTTATTTGTTAAAATGTCCCCACAATAATTTTGGGAGAACATCTATTTGTTCTTGGGCCAGAAGCGGAGGAAGGATGATGACCTCGGTTGAATCGGGTTGATGTCCTTTCCTTTAGGTACTTACTAGAAGTTTCAGTTAGAAAAGTCAACTTTATTGCGATATCCCCCCAGAACCCAAGCAATCCATGGATAAAAAAAGAACAAACAGAAAAAGAAAGAAATCAATGGATCCAAGAGAGGTTTTCCAACTTTTCCGCATGGCATTTGGCATCCGTCCTTTCTTATTCAGCTAGAATTTATGAATATGATTTCTTTGTTTCAAAGCAGTCCTTGCCTTTTCTGAAGGGTCCTGTATTTCAGCATAATTGTTTGCCACATAATATTATAATAAAGATCGATCCAAACTGATGGTTTTTTTCTTTTCTTGTTTTGTAGAACAAGGACAATTTCTACAATGTCCACATTGCAGTTTGTTTCTGGTATGAAAGTATGGGCTCACCCCGTCCGTATGTAAGGGTTTGACCATGTCCGTGAAACTGTGGTGGTCCCAACATAAAGCTAAGGGCTTGACCAAGGGAGTCAAATGTGTGTCCCTGAAACTGTGGTCGTGCCAACACTGCCAAGATAAGGCTAAGGGTTTGAACCTGTCTCTTATACACATCTAGATGTGTATAAGAGACAGGCTGTGGTGGTCCCAACATAAAGCTAAGGGCTTGACCAATGTGTGTCCCTGAAACTGTGGTGGTGCCAAGATAAGGCTAAGGGTTTGACCAAAGGAGTCAACTGTTGTGGTGGTCCCAACATAAAGCTAAGGGCTTGACCAAGGGAGTCAAATGTGTGTCACTGAAACTTTGGTGGTGCCAACACTGCCAAGCTATGTACCACCCGCAGTCGTGACTGCGGGCTGTGTGTCCATTCAACTATCAACGGGATTTTTTCAACTCCGTTGTACTCGTTGAACGGGCACAAGACCCGAGTTGAATCCCTGTTGAATGATACAACAGGCGGTTTCCGTTGAACTCGGATCAACGGACCGCGCGCAACGGCCGCCGGGCACGCAGCGCCGGTGACGTGAACTAGAAAACAGGGGGTTGTCTCCAACCCCGTCCGTTGTATCCCTGTTGAACCCGTTGAACGGGAGTTGAATCCCCGTTGAACCGATTCAACTTTGTTGAATCGCCATCGAACGGCTTCGTCGTTTGACGGGTAAGCGAACGACGGGGGCTGCGCCCGCGGCTGCGGCCGCAATCGCTGTGCGCTGGAGGTCCCCCTTGCTGTGATTTCCATGTCTGTGTGTGTGTGTGCTTGCCTGCTGCTTTGCATGGCTGTCTGTGTGCTTGTCAGTTGAGTGTGTGTGACCCGCAAGGGTACTTGTTGTTTGCAAGGCCCCGCAGGGCCAGTACTTACCTGTGGCTGTGACTGTCAAGGTTGAAGGGGGGGTAGACAGTCAAGTAGCGGGGGTAGGCCCGCGACACTTAGAGCAGGGGGGAAACACTCGAGTAGCAGGTAGGACGGTACCACTCGAGTAGTGGTATGAGTGTCGTACTGAAGGCCTAGCAGAAGAAGACAAAAAGTTGGCATTTTTAGAGGCCCAGTAGCGGTAGGCTGTAGGTTAGAGGTAGGCCAGTACCAGTCCAAGTAGCCCGGGTCTAGGGCCTGTCCGGAGGATAGTAGAGCCTGCAATGATGTTTCTCTCCGAAAGGGAGGAGGTACCGGTTGCTGGGAGGCCGCTCGGCCTAGGAAGTCACCGCCCAGGAGGCCAGTAGGCCAGACCGCTGGAGCTCAGCCTGGCTATGGCGAGCAGTCCAGCTTGAGGAGGAGGAAGAAGGGGCATGGTAGGAGAGTGTTGAGGCACTTACCTGGCTATGGTGGACACCGTCTTCATCACCTTGTTGGGCACTGCATCCGGAAGGCCCCAGTTGGGGTAGCGCTGCAGCAAGGAAGCTCAAGGCAGAGTCAGGCATGGCGGACCAGTCAGCAGCGGCATAGCTGCTCTTGGGTTGTCCTTTGGACATTGACAGCACCATAGCTGCTTTGGGTTGTGTTTTGTACAGGAGGGCAGGGCCCTCATCAGTCCGCCATAGCCTGTGCATGAGAGGGAAGGCTGAAATAGGGAAGCCATAGCTATGGTGGGCTTGTTGTTGTTGTTGTTGTTGTTGTTGTTGTTGTTGTTGTGGAGTTGAGTCAGCAGTAAGAGGGAACTTCGGATATCGATTCTGGACCTTTCTGGTTCATCCATTCATTGTTATTATTATTATTGAGAGAAGAATAAG